GCTGCCCGACCGCGTTGGCCCCCGAGGCGCGCGACAATGCGTCGAAGCGGGGAGGCCGCGTGGGTTCGCCGGCGGCGGCCGGAGCCTCGTCCTGGGCTGTGCCGTCCTGCACGGCTGTCACGAGGTCCTTGGGGCCACACTGGCGGCGCTGCTGCACGAGCACGGTGCCGGCGCCGTACGTCGGCACGATGCCCAGACGGCCGTGCTCGTCTTTGACGAGCCATACCCAGCCACTCGAGACCATGCCCATGGCCGCCGACGACATGGCCAGCTTGAGCTGCGGCAGCGATCCAAACTGGTCGGAAATGGCCGTCGCAAGCGTCTTGCCATACAGCGTGGGCACGGCGCCGATATGCGTCGAGGGCTGTGGGTACGCCGGCTGCTTTTGAGCGGCGTGCGGCACGAGGCACGAGAGAAAGAAGCTCGTATTCAGCGCGAGCGATGCATAGTTGAACGCAAGTATGCTTTCGCGGTCATGAGCCGCGTTCATGACCGTCTCGACCACCGACTCGGTCGCGCGAGGCGTGCCCCTGACCTCTTCGTTGAGACGCTGCAGCAAACCCGCCTGCCACTGCGTCCACAGCAAGTGCGTCGTGCGCTTCGACAGGAACGGCTCGCATCCCTCAACCAGGGCCTCGGGCATCGGCGGAAGCTGGTGCAGTGCGCGCACCGACGTCGCGCGCATCGCAGCCTGGACTGCGGGCCGCGCTGCTCGAAACATGTCGCCACGAAAAAACGTCGGAAGAAAAAAAGCACGCGCCCCGCGGCGGCAACGAGCACGACGCCGGCCGTGCCACGTGGCACGCACCGCAGCCCTGTGCCACCATACCGCCCTCATGTCGCTCGTGAACGCAGCGCCGCCACCGCCAGCGGTGGTCGCGCCTGCCGACACGTTTCGTGCGCTGGTGAAGCGCGCGATGCGTCCGCGGCAGCAGCGCATCCTGTTTCTGTGCACGATCGCGGCGTGCCTGGGCCTCGCGCTCAGCGCTCCGATCCTGACGTGGCAGCGTCCGTGCAGCGCGCTCGCTGCGTCGCTAGCTCTCGTGGCGTGCGTCATGCTGCCTGTGCTGCTGTGGCGCCGCACGAGTCTCTTGCATAGCACATGGCGCCCGGAGGGTGCGCCCGTCTCGCGTGCGGCCTACGCCTACCACGTCCTGCCTGGCACGCCGATCCGTTGGCACGCCGGCGTGGGCGCCATCGCCGTCGTCCTGTACGCCGCCCACTCTGCGTCGACGCTCGCTGTGATGCAGTGGGTGCCCGCCCATGGCGCGCACTACGTGAATGAGACCTTTGTCGTGGCGCTCGTCGGAGGCACGATCATGAGCGGCGCCTATGCCGCAGCGGCCGCTTTACGGATGCGAGGCGCACGGCGCGGCGTGCCGCCGTACGAGGTGCGCTTCGCCGACGCGCGGCTGTACGAACACGCGATCGCGGCTCTCGCTACGCATGTGCCCCAGGCGGTGGTCGGCGCCGCCGTACTTTGGCCGCTGTGCATCGCCGTGTACTGTCTGTCGCGAGACACGCTGTGGACGATGGTCTTGCGCATTACCGGCATCGACACGCCACTGCGGCGGTGGATCGTGCCGTCTTTCCGCTGGTCATTCCGGCCATGGCACTTGCTCCTCACGACCTGGCCGGCGGTCGTCCTGCCCGTGGCCCTCTTGGAGGTCGCACACACCCTCTTTGACGTGTACTGGACGCATCCCCTCGAATCGATCACCGCGTCGTACAAGGACCCACTGACGGCGCTGCTCGCCGGCTTGCACGATCCACATCTGTTCTTCTCGACACATGCGCTCATGGAGCTCGCGCGCCGCGCGCGCCACGATGCAGCTTTCCGGCGCGCCGTGTTTGATGACGTACAGCACGGCCGACCACCTGCGCTCGCCAGCATGATCCACGCGTGCATCCGTGCGCTCGACGCTGTGGCGCCCACGCCCCCACCGGCGCCCGCTCCGACCACAGCGGCCGCGCCTCCGACCGACGCGCCGCCCGCACCGCGTCCTACGCCAGCGGCTCTTTTCTGCACGACGCTCCGTCGCGCGTGGTCGCTCCTCCCTCCCGAGGCCCGGCACGTCCTCTTCCCACGCACGCTGTACCGGGCCTTTTGGGCGCCGGCGCCCAGCTTGGCGCTGGACGCCCACCTGGCCACCAGTGTGCCACGTGCTTTTTGGGCCGCGCAAGCGATCGAGGCTTGGATGCTCGCTTCGCTGACGCAAGATACCTATGGCGTGGCACAGCACCACACGGCCGCGGTCGTCGATGCCCTAGCGCGCGCACATTCGCGCCTCGAGCGCGTGCGCACGGACGTGGAGCGCATCGCTATCGAGGCGGACAGCGAGCACGTACGTGACGTGGCCGCATGGCGCGGCGCGCTGGCCGATACGGGGGCGGCAGCCGCGTTTGGCCCATCGAGCGCGCCCTTTTTCTCCGAAATGCAGGCGTCATGGCAGGCGTACGCGCCGGCAGATGCGGCACTGAGCCGGGCGCTGCGTCGGATCGTCGAGTCGTTTCCTACATAGCTAGGCAAATACAATGCGCTGCCCGACGACATGCAAGACGTTGAGCGAGCTGTACTCCAGCAGCGTCTCGTGCAGCTGGTCCTCGACCCACCCCGCCGCTATGGCACGCGCACGCACGTCAGAGAGCGCCAGCTCACCGAGGCCGGCAGCATTCGCGCGCGATGGGTCCTCACGGCCCGACTGCACGGCCATATCGCGAAGCAGCCGAAAGATCTTGGACACATGGCTCTGGTCGCGCGACGAGAGATCGCCACGCCGGCGAGCGGACGTGTAGAGAGACGCCTTGCTCACGTCCATCAGGCGCAGCGCCTCTTCGACATCGGACGTCTCGACCACATCCGCGAAGCGCAGCCGAGCCAGGGCCTGGGACAGGCGCACCATGCCCAGCAGCGTGCGCGCCGAGGTATACGTGAAGGCCTCATCACGCTCCTCGTCGTGCTTGTGCTGCGCACGCATCTGGACGTACGCATTCACGAGAAAGTCGGAGACGGCATGCGGGATCGTGGGACGACACTGCCGCGCTGCCGCCAGAAAGTGCCGCAGGACATGCGGCGGCACCACATCCTGGGCCTGGACGGGCGGCGCGTTGTACATGTGCACATAGGTGACGTGCTCCGCAAGGCGCTCGTCGTCGTCACGCGACGGCGTGTCCAGGATCAGGTACAGGATATCAAAACGGCTCAGCAGCGCCGCCGGCAAATTGATATTGTCCACGGGCGAGACACGTGGATTGTAGCGGCCATACAGCGGGTTCGCCGCCGCCAAGATCGACGTTCGCGCATTCAGCGTCGTGTTGATGCCCGCCTTGGAAATCGAAATCGTCTGCTGCTCCATGACCTCGTGGATCGCCGTCCGGTCCGACTCCTCCATCTTGTCAAATTCATCAATGCAGGCAATGCCATTGTCAGCGAGCACCAGCGCACCCCCCTCCAACACCATCTCATCCGTCACAGGATCGCGCAGCACGGCCGCCGTCAGACCCGCACCCGACGAGCCGCGGCCGGTCGTGTACAGCCCCCGCGGCGCCACCTTGGCAATGTACTTCAGCAACTGCGACTTGGCCACACCGGGATCTCCCATAAGACACACGTTCAAGTCACCACGAATCTTGAGGCCATCGCCCATGGTCTTGTGGCAGCCGCCCACCAGCAGCAGGAGCAGCACCTTTTTGATGTCCTCGTGGCCGTAGATCTCAGGCGCAATGCTCGAGGCAAGTCGGTGGTACAGCGACGGGTCGGCCCGCAGCGCATCGAGCTCCGCCTCGATCTCGGGCGTCGGCTCCATAGCCTCGTACGTCTTTTTCATCTGCTGGATCGATTGCGCTTCGAGGAACGTGTCCGTCAACAGACCCGCGCGAATGCCCCGAAAGCCCGTGTAGGGCTGCGGCAAAAAGATGCCGCCGAGCTGCACAATGTCCCCGGGACTCACCTGCCGCGTCAGGCGGCCGTACAAGTGCACACTCATCGACCGCGGAATGTGGCCCACCGGCACCTGGTCCGTCATTTCTTGGATGCGAATCTCCTGGTACGCCAAAAACTTGCTCGCCCGGACCTGGGGGTACAGCGGCGCCCGTGCCTTGTTCGTGGCACATACGCGGCTCGAACAAAAGGTCAGCGGCATGTACTGCTGCCCCGTGACTTCCTGAAACACTTCGGCACCGCACACATCGCACGCATAGGCATCCACGAGGATCGATGGACGCACATCCGAAATGCGCGTCACGACGCCGCGCACACTCAGCAGCTTGCCGAGATGCGCGCCGCGAATCGATCGGACCGCCAGCGACGGCGTCGAGCGCGAGAGAGGTCGTATATACAGCATGTATCGCCGCAGCAAGGTCGGTGGGAACGTCTCTGCCACTTCGCCCATACTCTCCTCGTGCTGCTCGTTCAGGGCATTGCGTTCCAGACGCTGGTGCCGAATCACGTCCAGCACGTCGTCCTTGTCCGAGATATCACGACTGGGGTCCGGCATGATGCGATCGATCACGTCACAGAACAAATTCACATAGCGCTTGGTATTGGCCTGGATCGACGCTACGAGAGTGCCTCCCACAAAGCCCGAGGTGGATGAGAACTGCGCGACATCGTCCAGCTCAATCACGATCATTTCTTGATCACGATTCGCGATGCGCTGCAGCTGTATCATATACTTGTTCACCATGGCGTCCGGCGCCGCGTCTTCCTCGATATCCATCGCCCGTGTCTCGTCTGGCATCGACGATGCCTGTGTCGTGCCGACGTCCGAGAGTGGCGGCACCTGGTCTAGTGGTGCCTTGAAATGCTCCAGAAAGTCTTGGATCTTGTCTCGCTCCTCCTCATACCGCACCGGGATGTTGATCACCGGCAGGATGGGGCCGGTACTTGCGCCGCTCATCGCGCCCACAAGGAAAACTGCAAAAAGGACGCGCGTCGCGCACCGACCGGACGAGGGCAGGGGGAGGACACGTGCCTGCCCACAGGGGCAGGCAAAAAGCAGTGCGCCAAGGGGGAATCGAACCCCCGGCACAGCTAATCCTGATGGCAAAGCTGTATTTTACCACTAAACCATTGGCGCTCACGTTGACGCCCAAGGTCTTCTCATGCACCTATAGAGGGGGCTCGCTGAGGACTGCGACGCCTGCCACGACGCGGCTTTCGGGGCATAGGTTCGCTAACCGCTTGGTGTCTATGAAGACTCTTTCTCAGCATCCCATGCCCGCTCGTGCTCACGCACAATCTCGAGACCGGGCAGCTCACCCGCGACGGTGCCGTACAGGGCATCACGAACCTGGGCACTGCGCACGGAGAGCTCGTCCATCGCGTACAGATCACCGTGGCCGGCCGTATCACGGGCGCGGCGCGTGGGGTATGAGGTCGGCTGCTTGACAAAGTGAGAGCGGGCATTCGTGGTATCCTGCAGCATCGAAGCATGCGACAGGGAGCCAGGCAAGACGGGGCTCTCGTACACGTCCGTCATTTCGCCCATGGTATCACGACGGTTGTGCAGATGTTCTCGGCGCTGACGGAGCAAGAGCTCATGCACCGTCGTGAACTGGACAAACGGACGGCCCGAGCGGCCATTGTAAAAGGGGCCGAGGATGCTCTCCGTCACCTCGTTCTCCAGCAATCGGTCCTTGTCCCCCGACACATTGGTAGGGTAAAAACTCGGCGTCAGGTGGTACAGCGACACGGCATGACGCATATTCTCATCCTTCGCGCGCCGCATAAGGCGCTGCGCCCGCCGAGATACACACAAGCGCAACGTCGTGTGCATCGTTCGCGCGAAAAGCGAGGTGAGAAGGGGCCTGGTCCGCCGCCGCCGACCCTACGGCCCTTCTTGTTATCACGTGATACGACACCGTCACGCGTCGCACAGGCAGGCGCTGGAGGCTGGGCGTGTTGGCTCACGGCATGTCAGTGACGCAGCGGCCGCTGCCTCAGCCGGCCGGCCACGTCGTGGCCTCGCCGAGTGCGCATGACCTATTTCCGTATGGTCTCTCGTCTCCGAAACGGCATGGCCTGCCTGCGACGCCGCCTCGATTCGAGACGCCGCCGCCCACCGTCCCCCCGAAGCCGCTTTCGCCACATACGTCGCCGTTCAAGACCCCCCGGAAGCGGCCCCTGCCGACGTCGCCCACGCGGCCCTTGCCGCGTCCAGGGGCGCGACCGCTTCCCACGATTCCGCTAGATACCCCGCGCAGGCCCACGTCGCCGCTGCCGCCACCGCCCAGCATGTCGCCTGCCGTGCCGTCCTCTCCTTCGAAGGTGGGGCTACCAGCTCGCGTGCCTTCCCCGCGCGGACCGCAGCCCGTACCTCGTGAGGGTGCGTCTGTGCCCGTGCCGCTGCTGATGGTCGATGGCGAGGTCATGACGGACGACATGATGGATCCGACGTCGCCTTCGGCGCCCAGTGTCGCCACCAGTGATGGCGCGGTCGTGGCGCAGCATGCGTCGAGCTCTTCGGCCGCAGAGCGAGATGCAGCGATGCCGACTGAGCCGCCCGTATCTCAGGGCGTTCATGCCATGTGCCACCGGTGCGGCCGCTGGATCGGTGGGTACATGGTGCATGCGATGGGCAAGGCGTGGCATGCGCGGTGCTTTACGTGTGCGCACTGTGCGACGCCTCTGGAGCATGTATCGTTCTATGAGCACGAGGGCGAGCCATACTGCCACCTTGACTTTCACGAGCTCTTTTCGCGGCGGTGCTACTACTGCCAGACGCCGATTGTGGACGAGCGGTTCGTCACGGTCGATGCGTTTGGCGAGCCACGGACGTACCACGAGGCGCACTTTTTCTGCGCGAACTGCGGCGATCCGTTTGTCGAGCAAAAGGACGGCAACACGAGCGTGACCGAGCACAGTCGTCCATTCTATGTGCATGGCCGACACGCGTACTGCGAGGCGTGTCACCGGCCGCGGTGCCAGGCGTGCAAAAAGGTCGTGGGCGACGAGCACATACAGGCGCTGCGCGCCGTATGGCATCCCGAGTGCTTCGTGTGCACGCGGTGTGGTCGGCCCTGCCAGGGTGCGACGTTTGTGGCGCCGGACGGATCGCCGTGTGACTTTGACTGCTACCAGGCGTGGATCCGAGGCACGGCGAAGCGATCGACTACCTTTTTATCCTAGAATACATTATAGACCATGACGAGGCACCCCTCGAGCTACGGGCAGCGACACCGGCGGATCCGCCGTGAGAAACAGGCGCTCACTCGGCCGCCGACGAAGGCGCCGTGGGCGTGGAGAGGGTATACACGGCGGCTGCGCCACAGGCGAGGTCAGAGGCGGCGAGAGCGGCGGGCATGCGAGCGGTGGTAACCAGGGAGGGGGCTGGGCGGCGAGGGAGAGCGGCGGGGAGAGAGGCAGCGCGGGTGCGGCCCACGTCGTAGGCAGGGCGCGCGTGGGCGACCATGGGGCTTTCTTCGCCGTCGGCGGCGCCTCAGCGAACGATACATGCTTGGATACGCGCGACGCCTGACGGAACGACGAGCGCGTCGGTGTCGCCGCCTGCGACGAGGGCGAGAAGGGCGGCTGCGTCGCGGGAGCGGCGTCACCACGCGCGTCCAGCAAGGCATCGCGCGTCAGCAACGCGAGCTCGTGGATGAGCGCGGCATGTCGCCTGCACTGGGCGCGCGTCTCGCGATCGAGCTTGTGCCAGCCGGCATGCTCTCGCGGCATCAGCTCGCTCAGCAGCATGTCGCATTTGGCGAGGCACAAGTACTGCATGTCTAGGTCGCTCGCATTATGATGCTGGTCCGCCTGGCGCTTCAACGTGTCAGCGCACCGGATCCAGTGCGAGATCGGCACGGCACTGGAGAAGCGCAGCTCGTGCCGCAGCTCCGCGACTTGCGCATCGAGCTCGGCCAGCGACGCAGGCTGACTCGGCGCGCGTGACGCTTGTGCGTGCGTACGGCGCCCGAGCACGCCTGTCTGATTCATCGGCGATGTGAGCACGAGGCGCTGCTCCGCCGGCCCGCGGGCTCGCGGCGATCGTAGCATCCCGATCGGTGCGCGGCGCACGCGCGGCGCCTGACCGTCCCCGGACCGCCATCGGCCACGTGGGGCCACGTGGCGTGACACGCGTTCCTCGCGCGCCGAGCGGCGCGGCGGCGGCCGTTGGTTGTTGTCATGGCCGCTGTGGTGCGTGTGAGCGACGTGCAGGACGTGCGTGTCCCGCGCGCCGAGCTCCTGACGAGGCTGCGGGCGCGGCAGGGCGTGTCGCTGGTGCCGGAGCACGAGCTCGTGCGCGATGTGCTGTACCTGTTCCAGGGCATGTCGGGCACGCATGTCCGGTGGCGCCACGAGTGGCAGCTGCCGTCGGAGGACGGGTCGCGGCCGGCGCACATGGACATGCGCCTCGACTTTGACGAGCAGCGTGGCGTGATCACGCCGCCGACGCGAGCGCTGATCCACCGACTCGCGGAGCTGGGGCAGTTGTACGAGCGCGTGCAGCGCTACGTCGAAGAGACGCAGCAGACGAAGGCCTCGCTGCACCTGGCCGCGCAGAGCTTGTGCCACTTTCTCGCGAACGAGCTGCACGCACACTGCGAGCTCGTGTCGGCGTGGGATCGCACATGGCACGCGCAAGTGGAAGGCGACGGCGGCCGGCCGCTGACGCTGCAGCGTCTCGCCCAATGCGCGCACGAGCCTGTGATGCGGATGCGCCTGATGAGCACGATCGTTGCCAGCTGCCAGCATGCGCATGGCGGCGCGCTCGTGTCGACGATACACACGTACACACTCACCGGCCACCCGTTCATTCGGCGGTACACGGCCACCATGCTGGACCATGTGTCGCGGCCCTTTTTCCATACCCTGTCCCGGTGGCTGTACGGCGGCGAGTTGGACGATCCGTTTGGCGAGTTTTTCGTGCGGCGCGTGACGGCGCCGGCCCAGCGGCCGCACGTCGTCGACGATCTCGTCGTCACGTCCGAGCAGGGCATGGATGCCGCCGACGTGTGGCACCATCGCTTTGTGCTGAGCCGCGACATGCTGCCGACCTTTTTGAACGAGCACTTTGCGCGCAAGATTTTCTCGACCGGCAAGAGCTTGCACTTTCTGCGCGAGTGCTGCCAGGAAAGCAGCGCGCCGTCACGCCACCGGCGCGAGCTGCGGTACTCGGACATGGCCGGCCTCGAGCACGCGATTGACGCCGAATTCGCCCTCGCGAGTGGCCAGCTGTGCACGCGCATGCTGCGCGCGTTCCGCCTCTTTGATCACCTGCGGGCGCTCAAGTCCTATCTGCTGCTCGCGCAGGGCGACTTTGCCGATGCGCTGCTCCAGACGCTCGGGCCGAGTCTCTCGCGCCCGGCGTCGACGCTGTACCAGCACAACTTGAGCGCGGCGCTCGAAACGGCGATCCGCGCGTCCAGTGCGCAGTACGAGGACCCCGAGATCCTGCGCCGCCTGGACGCCCGCAGCCTCGAGTTTGGGCCGGGCGACACGGGCTGGGACACGTTCACGCTCGAGTACCGCGTCGACTCGCCCGTGAACGCCGTGCTCGATGCGTCCGCGATGGCCGGCTACCAGCTCCTGTTCCACTACCTATGGCACATTCAGCGCGTCGCGTCACGCATCAGCGCCGCATGGACGCAGCTGCTGAGCGTGCAGAAGGAGGTCGGGCGCAGCCGGCACCGCGCAGCCCTCGGCGAGCCCCTCCTGCTCCAGCTGCGCGCGACACACGCGCACCTGTGCGAGATGGTGCACTTTGTGCGCCAGCTGCAAAGCTTTAGCGAGCTCGAGGGGCTCTCGCATGCGTGGCAGCGCCTCGAGCACGACTTGCTCGTGTCGCCGCCGACCGACCTGGACCACCTCATCGACATCCACCGGACGTATCTGCACACGCTCATCCACACGACGCTCCTGCGCGCGCCGGGCAGCGGACGCCGCACGACCGATCACCTCGCCCACGACGTGCGCGCGCAGCTGCACTGCATCCTCGCCTACGCTGACGCGACGGACGAGCTCGGCATGTACGTGACGGCCGAGCTCGCCCGCCTCGCGAGCGACGCGATGGAGCCCCTCGCCGCGGCGGCCCGGACGCATGCGCACGTATCGCAGCGCCTCGCGACGCACCAC